ACTTACCAGCTGCACGCAGCTCTCCATGCTGTTGGGCTGTGCTCCTTGCTGCCCACATGCTGCGCTGCAGCTACACTCATGCATGAGCGTTTACTGGCCAAATTATCGGCCACATCAGGCTGATTTCCAATACAGTAAATTTTCTTTATGTTGGTGCCGATCCGATATCAGATTGATGTATAGGTGCACCTCTACAGCATTCCCAGCATAACTGCAAAGGAGACCTGTCAGCCTGCTTCAAATACATCCATACATCATAGGGAATTTTTCTTCATTTATGCCAAAAACTTCTTTCCAAAGCCAAATATCAGCAATCAGCTGCCAAGGAGCACAGAGGAACTTTATGGTTTTCAACATGGCAAGCCTTGTAAATATGGGTGTCTTCAACATAGGTTTTATGAAAGCCTCTTCTGTTAAAGCAAGTATATCAGTGTTAGCCTAAAACCAGAAATCCTGCATTAATTAATGCTGCAACTAAACCTAAATCTTAAACCACATGAAGTAATACATTTAATAGAAATTTCTTGTGCTATACTATAATGCTCTCTGGGAGTTCTAATGAATTAAAGATACAAAAACTGAGATAAAACTTATCAGTAAATAATTCCATACAATAACTTAAATTATCATAATGCAAACCCAGGTGAAACACTGTCCTATACTGGTCCTTTAATTAATGCCAAACAAAGGAAGACTTCTATCTATACATGTTCATTCTACGGGTTTAATTTAGTACTTGAAATTAATTTTTGCCTAACGAATTTATTGCTTCCTTGCTATTGCTATGAATCTACTCTACAGCTTTATACAAACAGTAAGTTAATGGGATTTTATTGCTCTTATGATAAAAACATTGTTTTCATTATTGCTAATATTTTAAATGTTAAAAAAAAAAAATCAAGAATCTAATAGAAATGGATAGGTTGGGAACGTGGAGCTCTGCAAGATGCAGGAGCAGGCCAGTTAAAGCATCACTATAGTTTTGAGTTTGAGCCTTGCCCTGGACTTGTGCCAGCAGCTGCACCAAGTTGACCCAGCTGTAAATGAGTACCTGGACCTTTGAACTGGGGAGCCACATGAATCTGGATGTGATTTTTAGCTGTATCACTCCTGAGTCTGCTGTTGGCTACCAAAATTAGTGTGCTTTAACTACATTTACTCTCAGCCGCTTGACTTGAGAGCATTCATGATCTTGACAGGAAACAATGGCTGTAGTACATTTTTCCATCAAACATATAACCTGAAGGTTGAGCATCTTAAGAATTTTTAACATTGTTTTAAATTATTTCGATTAAATTCTGCAGTGTTTTTAAAAACACTTGTGTTGATTATCAAGGTGTGAAAAACCCAGTATTGCTTAGAATTGTCAATTTACCACATCATGTAGCATTAGGCATCAATACTGTTCATTGCAGCATAAAAACATATACCCTGGGGCAGATCTCTGCGCCTCACCAGTGCCCCTTCTATTTCAGAGGGGCACCACTTGGATTGTGAGATTTGCCTATAAGGAACAACTTTCAGAATTGGGACCCAAGATATAAACTGTTTTTATATCTAGAAACATGGCCAGAACTGCAGGGTATGAAAAATAGTTGCCTTTTTAAAAAAAACATTTATAGCTGTTGAACTATTGAGGCAAGTGTTTAGATATGAACAACTGACCTCCCCCTGCCCCCCCCAACCCCGCCATGAGGACACGTGTTTATTTATACGCATACCATCCATTGTATGCCCAATACTGCAAGTTTTATAATTACAGTAATGCTGTAAAGCATTCTGGACTACAGCCTTACACATGCCACGCTCATTGACTTCAATGAAACTTTTGGCCTGCATCAGGACTTAGTCTTCTGAATTTAAGGATATCTTTAGTTTGATAATCCAAATCAATCAAGTGCCAACACATCTGGGCAGGGCTGTAGTGCTAGAGTCTAGAAACAAGAAACTGCCCCTTACCTAGGGATGAATATCACTGTGTAGTTTCAATGCTTCTGTAGCCTAAATTTTAACCTAGATGGTATCCTCAAATTTGTGTTTGGAAAAAGCCCACTGCATATAGATCTCCCAAATCATGCTCGGAAGAGAAGGGTGTTATTTCTTTCTCTGAAAAGCTGTCTACAGCTCTAAGTTCCACACCGAGTGAGACAGACACTGGTCAAGTCACGATGACAGTTGTTGGAGGGAAGCAAACATTGTTGTCCTCGGGCTCCTTTCTTTTAACGCATTTTTACCACAGGTGGGTACTGTGAGGGATAGTTTACATAGGTTGAGGATTGGGAGGTGACCAGATGTTACAGTTGTATGCACCTGTAGTGAAGTGCCACAAAACTCATTTCTTTTTGGGATAGAATTTTGGTCACAACCGTAAGTGGTTGTGATCACGGTTTTTTGGCACTTGTATACAAGAGGCAAAGCTTATGGCAAGGCCTTTATGCACCATTCATTTAAGAATTTTCACAAATAACCTTAGCAAGAGCTTCCAATATTTGATATTTGTGTACTTATAAAATCAGATGTATATGGAGCATAGTTATTTTAAAAAGTGACTTTCCTATAAACAACAGGAAACTCATCATGATTATAACTTCATTAATATTCTGATGTGGATAAAGAATGCCAATATTCCAAATAGTATGCACCATTTGGAATCTGGCCCTCAGTCTATCTGAAAGTCCCGGTGAAGCCAATGAGAATTGTAGGAGCACCATTCAGTCAGAGTAATGACATGCAATTTTAAAATTGATTAGATCCCAAATTAATAGCCAAATACCATTAAGGTTGAACAAGGTAAATAACAGAATATGAATCTAGCATTAGAACAAAAATCAATTATTGCTGCTAAAATCTGTACAGATCTCTGATAACATAAGACTGATTCACATTTGAGATTTAGCTCTGTGTATCGCATACGATTCTTAATGCCACAGAAACTTGCTACAAAAGCTGAAGTACCCAAACGTTCACAGGAAAAGACACAGATTCCATCTGAAAAGCTCCAGTGTCAGCAAGACGGTAGTCTCTACTATCTATACTATACAGGTATATTTTTTCATCAACTTTATATATTGCTATTTTTACATCGGAGTTTTTTTTTTAACTGTAATGGAAGATACTGAAGCAACAATACAGTACATTTACTTTGACATTCAAGAGAATATAACCTCATATTAATGCTAATGCTTGTAATTCCCATTAATGCTAATGGAAGTACAACTTGTACTGTAAATTCCCATGCACTGATATGAGACTACATCTCAACTTTCACAAAGAAATGCAAATCCGGGTTTTTTTCCCCCAGTTAGTTTTTTCCCCCCAATGATAAAATCTTTTTATGAGAACACATTTTTGTTCTATTGCATTCTACTGTGGCTTTAGTGAAAGGATGGAAGCAGCTTAAATTGAACTATTCAAGAAAGGAGGTTCTGCTGTTTAGACTAGAACTATTAATCCAAAATTCCATGGTGAAATGATATGCATATAGTACTGAGCATCATAATGTGAGCAACTCATGAATAAAATTACTATGGTTGCTGAAACGGTTTCATATATGCATTTTTGGTACACACACTACGAATGCATGTTCTCAAAAATGCTCAAACTTAAGAATTTAAAATCACAGCAGAACAATGAGAACATGAAATAACAGCTATGCATCAACCACTAACTTTAGAGGCCCATTTAATGTAGATGCTAAACTTATTTTAACAAGGTTTTTTTCATTAAATATTCCCTTGCACATTTTACCAAAAAAAAAAATCTATCAAAGAAACGTAAAGTGCTGTATGCATAATTCCTAAAGGCCATTTGGTTCCAATGATTTTTGGAGCAGAACTTCCCATCAGCTTCAATGGGGAATTTTGCCTAAAAATCAGTAGCACAAAAAGCCACGATGTCTCTTATTTAAATAAAAATATATAATGATTTTTTAAAAGAAAGAAAACAATCGGAAAGACAAAAAATATATTCTATTCTTGCATCTATCCAGAACTCAGGAGAAAATAGGCAGCGTTTTAAAATAACGGTCCACTTACTTAATGCTGAGACACAGAATAAAAACCTATATAAGTACCTCCTCATTTATAGAAAACTAGTTGCACAGAAAATATTATAATAAATACTAAGTGAAACAACAGTGATTGGGCAGTTATTTTGAAATGTGTTCCACTAATTTACAATTTGGTTTACAATAACAAAAATCAAGGCTGTTATCTTTTTTACTAGCTTACCAAAGCTAGAAGACACATTGTCTGACAACAGAAATAAAAAACAAACATGCAGCATAATTGAGCCCAATCACAAAACAATTTTGAAAAAGAATAATTCTTCAGTCTACTTTTTTAATGACTAAAGTTAATGTAAAATCACTGTGTTTATGAATGACTGGGCTAGATGACCTGTACCACAGCAAAAGAACCTGAGTGACATTAGAAACCTGCAAGAACACTGATTATTTTGATTTTGAAAATCTTCCTTAAACCACTTCACTCATTTTGGTCAATGTGGTTTCTTTTTACAAAATGGTCAGTGCATCCTGTGGCTCGACTATAAATCCAATATGTAGAGTTTAATGAATGAATCTAAACCAAAGACTGTGTTGCAGGAATGTGTGAAAAATAAAATGTAAAATAACGTCCTCCTAGCTGTTAGTCAAACATCACTGGGTGATCTTGCTCTTTGAGACAGATTAGAAGGAATGCAGCCACAGCAGATGAGCCAAAGCGCTTTTTGTATCTCTTGGTTTCTAAAAGCATATATTACAGGATTGATGATGGAATTGTAGGTGGCTGGCAGGAGAGTGGCATAGGTATATATAGAAGGGTATGTGTAATCTGCTATTAGAGAATAGAGAGTGAAAGGCATCCAGCAAGCAGCAAAGGTCCCCAAAATAATGGCCAAAGTAGACACTCCTTTTCGGGTGGTCACATAGTGAGATGTAGCCAGGAAATGGTGTTGCAAGGCAATCTGATGAGCATGGCGCATCACGATCTTACAGATTTGGATGTAGAGCTGTAGCATGAGGGCAAACATAAGCAAGAAAGAGACTGAAAGGATAGCTGCGTTATTTTTAGTGAGTGGTCTGATAACACTGCAGGTGGATTCATCTTTGAGGCAGTTCCAGCCCATTACAGGCAGCAGTCCAATACAAATAGATGCTCCCCAGAGCAAAATGAGCATGACATAGGTAAAAGTGACAGTCCTTTCTGAATTATAAGTCAAAGCATAATACAGTGAGAGGTAACGATCAACAGTAATAGCCAGCAAGCTGCAGACAGAGGCAGAGAAAGAGGCAACAATCAGTCCAATTGTGACCAGTTTTGTAGCTTCTGACTGGAGAAGATAGGCAAAAATAAAATTGATGATCAATCCAATTCCTGCTAAGAGGTCGGCAAGCGCCAAGCTGCCTATCAGGAGGAACATAGGGGCACGGAGACTGGGATTATGGAAAATGATAAGAACCACAATGGCATTTTCGCACGAAATAAGGGTTCCCGAAGTACACAAAACAATGTCCCAGGGGTTTACTACGAGCTCGGGCTCAGGATCTACGACAGGAATGAGGGAGGAGGCTGCAGCTGAGACGTTCTCTGCCGCGCTGGCATCCGCCGTGTCTCGAGACAGCCAGCTTACATTACCCTTCTGGTCTTCGTTCATTTTAACCCCCGTCTTCTTCAACGACAAGACATGGTTGGGTTTTTTTTTAATGTTTGGGTACAGCACCAGCGCAAGCAAGAACATGCACTGACCTCCCACAGCGCGAGGGGGCGGGTGCACTTGTTACATAAAAGCAACGACGTGGGGAGGGGCAAGGGGGCAGAGGGCCAATACTTCCTTTTAAGAAGTATTTGGGGAAAGCAAAGCGGGACCTCCAGGGCGACAAACCACAGGTAGGTCTGCAGGGTGCAGGAGACTCCCCAGGGAAGGGAGCTGCTCCCACGCGCTGGGAGGTCCGGGTATCACTGCTTGGGGAGCGGGAATGCGATGAGATCAAAATGAAAATCAAAGCCGAATTAAACGGGACCAACATTAAATCACAGTGCAATGGAGTGGTATGCAATGCAAGTCAATAACCCCCGGGACTGAAATGGTAGCGGGAGGGAGGGGACCCCCCTCACCTCAGGTCGTGGGTGCCGCTCCCCGGGGCGGGGCGGGGCGGGGCGGGGCGGGGGCTGCGCGGCGGTCACCTTGGCTGCTCCTCGG